TCCCTGCGGCCTTCATAGCTAATCTCTTGGAGAAAATCCCCGCTTCTTTCCCTGTGGTTCCAGAAAACCCCCAAGTCCCATGCCCTCTTCTGAGTCTGTCACGTGGGAGAGGTTGAGACTCCACCTGGCTCCCACACCACCCCTGCTCCGAGCCAGAAGAATTTAAACTAAGAATGGGCGAGAGGGGACTCTTCAGTCACTCGAGTCCACAATTCATGCTGCCATTGCGGTGGGCTCTTTGTGACACTTTGGGAATAAGGTGAGAAGGTTCGGTCCTACTTCATCAGTATTACAGAGAAGCTAAGTTTTACACACACACAGAAATGCACACATTCGACTTCTCGCCAAGACTCGGAAAATGTTCTCTGTTCATTTAGGACGGTGTGAAAAGACATCACAGAAACTAGTGGATTGAAACAGCATGATCAGGTCTTCACTCACACATGTGCAACCGAGGTTTGGATCCTTCCACGGGCATAAGAGGGGAGGCTCTGCTGGGATCTGAAACCTCAGGGCCGGGACACTCGCACGCACATGGCAGGCAGTGCTGGCTCAGCTGGGAGCACTGAGAAAGCTGACGGATAAGACCCTGTAAAGTGCTGCGGCTGGATCAGGCCAGCTCAGGAGAAAGCAGCTTTTGTGTGATAATTCTCGAACTGTGTATAACTGGGAGCATTAACCACAGAAGTTTACAAACACTGAGTTTTGTTTTCTCCTAGGAAGCTGCTTGCTCTGTGTTCGCCAGCCCGTCCTTGCAGGGGAGCTCAGTTCTTCTCTCCGTGTGACACTCAGGCTTTCTCCAAGCATTGTATCTGGGCTCCAAAGGCACCAGTCCTCTCAGCACATGTGGACTGCTAAAAAAATTTAAATGCCATGAACCAAGTTACTCTAACACTGCCTAGAAGGTCGCCCTCACTACCTCTCAGTGCTGTGTCCTCCTGGACAACAGGGACCCTTCAACCCTCCACCCCATGGCCACACCCTAATTCCTGCCACCACTTAGAAGCCCCCCTAGAGGTTGAGAAGTCAAATCAAGGTGGCAGCAGACTCGGCGTCTGGGGAGGACCAGCTTCGTGGTTCAGACACAGCAGCTTCTCACTGGTCCTCGCCTGGTAGAAGGAATGCAGGAGCTCTCTGGGACCTCTCCTAGAGGGACACTAGTCCTACTCATGGGGACTCCACCATGCTCACTTCCAGAAAGGCCCCTTCTCCTAATGCTATCATCTTAGGGTCTGAGATTTCAATACACGAATTTCAGAGGGAGAAAGTGTCAGGCCCCAGCACCATCCAATGCAGAGGAAGTGAAAGACACCAGTTCATTAGGGCCTGATCCCAGAAAACAGCGTGGCATTTAGTCGTATGTAGTCTGTTGGTCAAAATATCACCCGTCCCAGACCTAAGAGGGGGGAACAGAAACCTCCGTTTCTATAAAAAGGAGTGAAAGAATTTCGGAGCCATGTTTTAAAAAATCTCAATGAAGCTGCTGCCTTGTGGTTTATTGTAAAATAAGCCTGCTGCAGACATCTGCCGCACACGTCAACACCAGACACAGAGACGGCTTGTGAGGCGCTGGGAAAGGCAGACCAAAGGCAGGGACTTGGGGTCCTTGCCTGTCCCAGCTGGATCTGCAGGTCTGGGAGTTGCTGTGTGACACAGGCAGCACCAGGACCCTCCCTGCAGGACGGTGGACAAAGGGCTGAGGGGAGGGACAGGGCTGTGTTGAGTCGAGACTCGCTTCAATATTCCCTAAAATCGAAATGCATGTGCCTGAAAAAAACAGGTTCAGCTGTGTCTACACATAATGTCTACAGTGTAGACACTGATGGTCTACACTGCCACAGTCAGTGGAAAGATCAGGCTGGGGTTCGGGGCTGTGGATCCACATGGACGTGGGAGCCCTGTGAAAAATGTTCAGATGTAACACCTAAAAAAGGTTAAGCAAAAAGCTTAAACTGCAGAATTCTGCCAAGGTTCTGGTGCAGCCAAAAAAGAAAAGTGAAAAGGACCACAGAGAAGAATCTCTGCTGTAATTTGAGTTTTAGAGTTTGAGAGTCACCTGGGGGAAGGATGGAGACAATGACAAAGACATTCTGTCTTTGGAGACAGCTATACCCCACTTGTCCATTCGGCTGGGGCCCACCTATGGAGGGGGCTAGGGTGGGAGCATGGCCTTGAGGCAGACATAGAGCAACGTCCCCGGCAGATGGCTCCCAGTCCTGCAGCCAAGCGTGGGAGGGAAGGACAGCGCACACCGCGTTAGGGGCAGGGAAGGCCACCTTTTCTGGGACAGCAGCCACCAGTGACTCCGAGCCAGCTGGAGGGTCTCTGTTCTTCCTGAGCTCCCCAAATCGCTCTGAGCGCTGCATGTAAAGCTGCCGCCTGGGCCACACTTCTGTGGCAGGGCTGCTGCACCTGCTGTCCCTCTTCCTGGACAGTGGCCAGGTTTCTGCAGGCCTCACTCATGGCCGCTCCGGCACTGTTGTAAAGATTCCGGGCATCAGTTGGTCCTCACTGAGCTGACGAAGTCCCCTTGCAGTTAAAACCAAATCCTCCCACTAGTGTGCCAGCCACTTTGTGGCAGGCCCGACATGTACTGGGACAGCCTGTCTTTGGAGACAGCTAAATCCCACTTGTCCATTCTGCTGAGACCCACCGATGCCATCACCCAGAAGCCCTTCACATCCCATTGGGGCCGAAGCAGGATACAGCATGCAGTTGGCCCAGCAGGTGGTCTCTCCAGGCCATGCCCAGGTACCGGGTTCTGAGTCTCATGGGGAGGCCCTCACTACCACCAATCGCAACTCTCAGAGCCTCTGGACAAAACACACCTGTCCTGACTATGGGCTTCTGCACCTGCAGTCCTCCAGAGACCAGAGCTCCTTATGTCCTGGGTGGAGCAGCTGTTCTCTTTTAGTGGCATTCTTTGCTTCCTCCTGTAGAACCACACCTATCACTGACTCAGATTCAGACTCCCACTTTAGGGCATAGCATCGCCAGGGTTAAGGGAGTCTCATTAAGCCCATCGTCCCCAAGCCACAAGCCTCTTCAGGCGGCCCAGTGGCCTCCTAAAGTCATTGTTATTAATGTCTCTGGATGTGCCATGGACACCCGAGGCACCAAGGTCCTTCCTAGGGCCGTCACTTTTTTAACTCTCAACCTTATGGCCACTATCACCTCATCACAGTTGGGCTAGAGCCACGGTGCTGCCCACCGTGATCACAGAAGAGTCAGGTTCTTTTCCCTTGGAGCTCACATCATTTACACGTCCTCCAATAATGAGACCTCCCCATACCACCACCCACATCCACCATCAAACATTTACTGAACAATGGATTGTGGATGGATGGTAAAATATGATCTTCTGAGAACTGATGGCCCAGGCCCACTGGCACCCCTCAGGGCCACAAGGCCACACCACATATTTGACATGCAGCTTTATGGCAAAAGCTCCCATTTTTACCGGTTTTAAAGGTTAGCTAATATTTCTCACTTACTCCTCTGGGCAGGAAGTAGGGATTATTGCTCCAGAATCCACCAGGGGTGCAGTCAGTCAGAGGCTGCCAAAGAGAAGAAGGCTTCATACTAGAGACATTGACTGCATCAGGCAAAGACCATATGGAAGAACCATCACCAAACATGGCCCGTGACCCTGGGGAGAAAGGCTCCGAGGAAAGTGGGTGCGAGCTGACCCCATAATCAGTGTCAATACAGAAGCACTGGGAAAGAAGCTCTGAGTGATGAGATGTCAGTGTTCTCTATGACTGGCCTCGCTTGGTATCTTAAGCCCACATGGCTAGTGGGGTACCTGTTAGACCCAGGCCTGCCAGCCTAGGGAATTTCTAGAACAGGTAGAATTTGTACCCAGGCTGGAAAACTGTCATATTCCCTGTAAGCCCTGTTAGAGGGGCTGCACCCCAAATGCAACCTGACCTGTGTCCAGGGTGGGCAACTCAATTCTTAGATATTGAATGGGTTCCCTGGCACGAATGCTTAACCACCAGCAGCCCTCACAACCACAGATCATGTTTTAAGGATGAGGAGGAGGTTCTCTGGATGCACAGGCTTCAATCCAAATGGGGTAAAGACGCTGTGGCACAAACCCGGACCGCAGCCTGAAGGGTTGGAGCCTTGCATTCACAGAAAGCATCCAAACATGATGGTGGTCTCAGGGATACACCTGTGCTCCAATGTGTACGAGTTATGGATGGAAACCTCCTATGCCTCCTGGGAGGCACCACTCAAGCCTTAGCTAAATGCTTCCCTGAAGACCCACAAGGGCTGAGAGGCTGTGCAACACCAGCAGTAAAGTGAACGCCCAGACTCCCACTTCCTGTCTTCGGTGGCCATCCGGAAAGGCCACCCCCACCCTGATGGCTAGCGTTTCAGACCAGTTCTTGGCCCAAGTGATCCTAGACAACTGTTGAACCTTAAACTGTTCCTTGGCCAAGCAAGGAAGCTATTGTCCCCTCTAGGGAACCACATGCTATGTGTGCATCCATCACTCCGGAGAACCCAAAAAGGTCTGTTCCACATGGCAACATAAGCCCAGGTGATATTCAGTCACACCTGGGTGTCTTCCAACATTCCAGCTCAGCCAGATGGCTTTGATTTGTTTTTATGTTTGGACCCCAGGTTCTTGGGACACTGTTTCAGAAACAGATTCCAAATCCTTGCATATCCTAGTCTCTGCAGGGTGTCTACTATGATACACAGCCAGGCTGTCCCGTAGGCTTTAAATATTCCCTTGGTGCAGGTAATTAGCCTCGGCCACAGCCAATGCATGACAGGGTCAACTGCGTTAGGAGTTATGGAGAATCCATAGTTGGGTGCTGCCTGGCTCTGGCCAGGGTTGACCAAGGCAGAGGAGTACCTCTGTGGAGTTCTGCTTTAACCTCACCTTACCACCAAATTTCTCAACTGTCCTTGCCACCACAATTATTTAATGGACCCAGCAGAAAGTAACCCCGGAAATTAGGACACCTCATCCCAAAATATCTTTAAATAGGGGAAGTCACTTTGTGCACGGCTGCTCCTTGCTACAGAAGACCTGGGATAGAGGACTGCTCTCTGCCTTCTCTGGTCACCCTGCCCAGCCAGAGGATCTGTAAGTAACAGAACACTTAAACTTTTATACTGAGTTTTCATCATTGAAGCTGTGCCTCCAATCTGACCTCTGACTGTGGGGCCACCCCAGAGGGACCCAGCAGGTAAGTCCCTGCCATTGCACTTCTGTCTGGACCTCTGGTGGCTCCTGGGGACAGTGGCTTCCAGCTAAGTTAATAGAGAAACTCAAGCAGTTTCCTTCTAAACACAGGGCCGTTGACATGACCCACAGAGACAATCACAGCTCTTTAGAAGGTTCTTTTGAGAAAAGTTTATTCAGGTCCTTGGTCTCTTTTTCAATCAGGTTGTTTGTTTTTGCTATTGAATTGTTTGACTTCCTTTTGTATTTAGATATTTACCCCTTTTATCACGTAGGTTTTGCAAATATTTTCTCTCATTTTCTGGGTTCTCTTTTCACTCAGTTGATTGTTTTCTTTGCTGTCCAGATGCTTTAGCATTCACGGGTCTCTGTTCCCTTTTATTGCCTGTGCCTTTGGTGTCATAGCCAAGAAATCATTCCCACATCAAGGTCAAAAGCTTTTTCCTTATATGCACATAGTTGATGGTTTCGGGTGTTATATTTAGGTCTTCAATGCATTCTGAGTTGATGTTTTGCAACCAGAGAGATAAAAATCAGAGATAAAAATTTAAATACATACATATATAAAATCACGAGGTAGTATACACTAAAAATATATAATTGTTAATTGTCAAACAAGTCTAAATAGAGCTGGAAATAATAAATATTTTTTCACACCTAGACAACTCTCTGTCGCTGAGCTTATTTCACCTTTAGCCTAATAAAATCATTGTCCTCTCTACCCTGAGTCATGCAGGAGACTACTCACCCCATCACCTCAAAAGCCTATTCATGAGGATGGTTAGTCACTTGAGTCCAGTGAATTACTCTCTATTCCACTGGAACTCAAACAGGACATCAGAATCTAGACCTCCGGAGAGCCGCAGGACCCATCTTCAAAAAAATAAGAAGCATTTGTTCCCTGAGCTTGTTGAATGAAAGTGCAATTTCTACTCTTTTTGGAATGTTAAAAAGTAAAAAATAATCTTCAAGCAGGTGAAAGCAGGAGTAACACAGCAGGGTCTTTTTTTGTCATTATCAGCTCCAACGTAGCACAGACATTAAACATGCAGATTCTTACGAGCATGAAACTGGGGAGACAGGAGCATCCAAGGGACGCTGAGACCCATGGTCCTCTCTCATAAAATTTACGCCTCCTTTCACTGAGGGTCGAGAAGGTTTCTTGCCTCTGAGCCTTCTCCCAGAAGAGCTATAAATCCAGGCTGGCTCCTCACTCCCGAAACATCCACTCCTGCTCTCCCTCCTCCAGGTGACCCCAGCCATGAGGACCCTCATCATCCTTGCTGCCATTCTCCTGGTGGCCCTGCAGGCCCAGGCAGGGCCACTCCAGGCAAGAGCTGATGAGCCTGCTGCAGCCAAGGAGGAGATTTTAGCAGACAACAATGAAGTGTCTATTTCCTTTGCATGGGATGAAAGCTTGATTCCAAGCGATTCAGGTGAGAGACACCAGCATGCAGAGCTGCCTTGTCTAGAGGGATGGCCGGGAGATGGGTTCCAGAATTGGGTCTCAGCAGTCTATGTCACTCAGGTGGCTTCGTTTAGCATCTCTAGGCCTTGATCATCTCATCTATAAATTATACAGCAAGCCAAATAAATCTAAGAAATTTTATTTCTCCGAATACTTGACTCCAATAAATGTCTGTGGAATTCACCAGGTTTAAGATACAAAGAGACAGACCGACTAGTTATTTCTGGATCTAAACTAGTAGACTTATTTTTAAAGAGAGTATTTTACTCTATCTATAGAAGAGCGTTTAAAAACGGGAGCGAAGCCTAAGGGTGTGTTCAGGTGTGTGTGTGATGGGGCAGGAGTGCAAAAATGAGAGCAAAAGCGAATGAGCCCAAACCCTGTGTGACCAGCGCTGCTCTGTGTATATATTCCTATTGACTGAGGTCATTCTTGCCACCAGCTGCAAGGCAGCCCGCGTCACCGTGACTCTTTTTAACACCCACTGCTGAACCCGTACTCATTTTCCGATGCTCTCTGTGTCCAGGCTCAAGGGAACGCATGGCCTGCTCTTGCAGAATACCATCATGCATCGCAGGAGAACGTCGCCTTGGAACCTGCTTCTACCGGGGAAGAGTGTGGGCATTCTGCTGCTGAGCTTGCAGAAAAAAGAAAAATGAGCCCAGAGTTTGCTTTGAGAGCGAAAGGGAATTGCTGTTACTCCTGTACCTTGTCCTCAATTTCCTTTCCTCGCCCTAAATAAATGCCTTCTAACAAGCTCTCTGTGTTCACACCTCTTTAATGTACGATATGTGTCCGTGTCAACATGCTTGGGATACTGGGACCAAAAAGCTAAATCAAAACTTGAACAAAATAAAATGACAAATTCTAGAAATTTCCAGCAGGAATTTGGGCCCAAATTGAAATGAAAGCTCCAATGATGCCCCTGATCTCCCCATCCGCCACTCTGCCTTTTCACTCTGCCTCATTTCCTCTGGATCCACTCTGAAAGAACTCCCATGTGCTGGGTAGACAACCAGTGTCAGCTTAAAGTTTATGCAGTCATGAAATTGTGACTTCTCCAGGAAAGTAACAATTGTGTTCCCTTAAAGCTGCCGAGAACCTGATGCTGCCTGGAAAATACAGCTTTGGAGGGGAAAAGAGGAGCGAGGGAAAACATTTCACCAGGAGCATGGTAGCTTTCTTGTTGCTGCAGAGTGCCAAGGCAACTCAGGGGTGCAGGCACCCCACTGAGACACTGCATGGATGGGGAAGCCCATGCAGATCCCAGGGAGGACAGAGTGGGTAGCAATCCCAGACTTCTTCTTGTTTAGATGGTGAAAGACACAAATAGGGAATCAGGCTGTGAAGGCCAGGAGCCTTCTTTGGGTTCCTGTAACTGCCACTGACTCTGAGTCATGTGGTCCCTGAATTGACTTTCCATATTATTCTGAATTATGGACTGGGTCAAGATGACTGCCTCTTGGGGCATCTGCAGAGTTCCACCTAGCTTTCTCCCAAGCATCTGAGGTCTCAGCTAAAACTCCACTTTGTCACTGAGGTCTTTTCTGATCTCTCAACTTTAAATTGCCACAAGTTCCCCCTGGTGACAACCATTTCCCTGGTTTTCTTTACTGCTAACTCTAAAATTGCAATAATCTCACCTTCTGTACACTTCACTGATTATCTGGAACATACGCCTCCTTACTCTAGAAGGGAAGTCGCATATTTTGTTCATTGTTGTACCAGAGTGCACAGAACACTGCATAACACGTAGTAGGGGATTAATAAATTAATTCTGCTTCATTTATTAATTACATCTAATAGCATATAACAACATAAAAGTGTTATTTATTAATTGTTATTACTAAATTGCATAGGAAAAAGCTAAGGTCAACAGAGGTAGAGCAGTCCATGTTTCTAGACAGCACACCTTTAAAAAACAAAATAAATAAAAACATTCAAGGCTGAAAGATGAAAAAACATTCAAACTAAGAATGGGTGAGAAGGGGTTCTTCAGTCACTCCAATGAGTTCACAATTCCATGCCCCCACCATGCAACGGGCTCTTTGTGACACTTTGGGAATAAATTGAGAAAGTTCGTCCTATTTCATCAATATTTTAGAGAAGCTGAGATTACACACGAAACATGTGCAAGTCCAGTTTCTCAGCAATACTGTGAAAATGCCCTGTGTTCAACTAGGGCTGTGTGAAAAGACACCACAAAACTTAATGGATTAAAATAGCATGATCAGGTCTTCATTCACACATTTGTAATGGGGGTGTGGCCTTCTCCACAGGCATCGGAGGAGAGGTGCTGCTGGATCTGGAAAACCTCAGGGCTAAGGCACTGGTGCACATGTGGCAGGCAGTGCTGGCTCAGCAGGAGCTCTGATGGGGCAGAGCATGAGACCCTGTGATGCGCTGAGGCCAGTTCATGCCAGTGCATGAAAGGAGATTCGTGTGACACTTTTTATCCTATTCACAGCTAGGAGGATTTTAAACCAGAGAGATTTACGTCAGACTTTTGTTTTTCCCAGAAAGCTGGTTGCTCTGTGTTCTCTAGCTCCTCCTCGCTGGTGGGCTCAGTTCCTCTCCCTTTGCAATGCTTAAACTTCCTCCAAGCATGCTATCTGGACTTCAAAGGCACCAGCGATCACAGTATATGTGGGGTGCTGGAAAAAAATACCCTACATCACGTGACTTACAACAATAGAAATAGATTTCTCAGTGTTCTCGAGACTGAGAAGTCCAAATCAAGGTGCCACAAGATATGGTGTCTGCTGAGGACCAGCTCTTTGGTTCACAGTGAGGACCAGCTCTTTGGTTCATAGATGGTAACTTCTCACTGCCTCCTCACCTGGGTGAAGGAATGAAGGAGCTCTCTGGGGCCTCTTCCTCAGGGGCACTAATCCTGTCAATGAGGACTCCACCCTCCTGACCTTATCACCTCCCAGAAAGCCCCACCTCTTCATGCTATCACCTGGGGGTTGGGATTTACACATATGAATTTCGGAGGGACAAAAAATTCAGGCTGCCGCACCATCCAATACAGAGGAAGTGAAAGACACCGATTTCTTAGGACCTTAGCCCGGCAATTGGCATGGTGCTAAGTCAGGTGTATTCAGCTGGTCAAGATGTCACCTAACCGAGATTCAACAGGAGGGAATTTCACCTCCATCTTTATGTGAAAAGAGTCAGGGATTTAGGGCCACATTTTCAAACAGCTCAAGGAAGTTATTCTGTTCTGGTTTATTGTAAAATTTCTGCAGACACATCAACAACCTGTGAGAGGCGGCAGGGAAGGGCAGACAAAGGGCAGGGAACCTGCAGTTCCTGCCTACCCCAGCTGGACGCAGCACCAGGACCTTCCCTGCAAGAAGGTGGACAAAGGGCTGAGGGAGGGGCAGGGCGGTGCACTCTGAGGAGCTGGGAGATGCACGGTCCTCCTCAGAGTTCATCCCCTGAGCCACCCTAACACTCATGCTGTGTTCCACGACTGCCCTTCCCTACCAGGTCAAAACCATATCCCCAGGGCCCTGTCCAAGGTCCACACACACTGTGTCTGCTGGGGCCACCGGACACCCTCAGCATGTGTGAGAATATCCTTGCTGCTCCTGGAAGCCTCTCTCCTCTCACACCTACAACCCCACCCACAGCTTCTCCAGGATGTTTACCCCAGCCTGATGATGTAAAGGTTTTCACTGGTCTCCTGGGGGTTCCCCAAGTCACCAGCCTCCTCGAGCAGCACAGTGGCCTCCTAAAGTCATTGTTATTACAGTTGTGGCATGGGCCATGGAACCCCAGGGGACCAAGCTCCTTCCAGAAGCCCCGAAGCTTCCTCTCAACCCCTCTCATCACTATCAGGCCACACCAGTATGGTGCCCGCTGTGATGTTCATAGAAAAACCAGATCTGTTTTCCCTTAGTGATAACATCATTCACATTTTCTCCAACAATGGGAACTCCCCTATCATAGCAAGATGTCCACTGTCTCAACCTCAAACACTGACGGGAGACCTTATTAGGGATGGATACTAAGCCGTGATCCCCTGGCAGTGGATGGCCCAGCCCTACCAGCACCCAACAGGGCCACAGCGCTTTTGCTCCACCTCTCCTCTTGGCCTGTGACATCTGGCCAGAGCTCCAGTTTTCACAAATTTTCAAGGTTAACTAATAGCTCTCTCTCACTTCTCCCTTCAGAAGTTGAAATTGTTGCTGTAGAGCCTAAGGAGGGCCTAGGCTGGTTCACTGAACAGGAGAAGAAGTGCTCAAACAAGTGGATATTGACTACATCAGCTGATGACCGCACGGAAGGCCGTCACCAAACGTGGCCTGTGCCCACGGTGGAGAAAGCCTCCACTGAGAAGCGGGTGCCAGCCGACGCCATAATCAGTGTGAATACAGAAGCCCTTGAAAGAAAGCCCTGAGTGACAAGAGGTCAGTATTTTCTACGACTGGCCTTGCTCTGTGTCTTCTGCACACATGGTTTGTGGGGAAGCTGTTACACCTGGAGCTGGCAGCCCAGAGAGCTGCTGATACAGGAGTGCCTGGCCAGCACTTGAACCCCAGGCCGGAAAGCAGAAGTTTACTGGATGATCACGCTAGCAGGCTGTGCCCAAAATGCCACATGACCTGGGACCAAACCAGGCAACTCAATCTTTAGATATTGAATGGGTCCAATGACACCAATGCTTAAACACCCCACAACCCCAGACCATGTTTAAGGTCAGGAAGGTGGTTCTCTGGATGCCTAAGCTTTAAGCCAAATGGGCGAACAACACCACAGCACAAACCCAGACTGTGGACTCAAGGACTGAAGCCTCATATGCAAAGCAAGCATCTATAATTATCATGGGCTCAGGGATAGGCCTGGGCTCCAATGTATAGGAGCTGTGGATGGCATGTTCCTACACCTCCCAGGAAAGCACAGCTCAAGCTTTTGCTAAATGCTCCCCTGAAGGCCCACAGGGGCTGATAGGCTGTGCACCAGCAGCAGTAAAGAGAATGCCCAGAGCTCACATCCCCTCTTGGGTGACCACCTGGGAAGGCCACCCTCACTGGCAGGGCCACTACCAAGACCACAGCGCCCCTGCCGCAGGGATCATCCAGGGAGATACCAGCTTCAGCAGAGCCAGTCGTGTCAGTGAATCTCCTTATTTTTCAACTTTTATTTCAATTTTTTGTTTGTTATATGTTGGGTGGATATATAGGGTAATGCTGAGGGTTTGGGTACAAGTCATCCCATCACCCAGAGAGTGAGCAGACTACACAATAGGCGGGTCTACAACACTTGCCCGCTCCGTCCCTGTTCCCTCTCCCAGTCCCCACTGTCTGTTCTTCCCTCCTTTACGTCTATGAACACCTGCTGTTTAGCTCCCACTTGTAAGTGAGATCATGTGATATTTGCTTTTCTGCTCCTGTGTTAATTTGCTAAGGGTGAGGGCTTCCAGCTGCATCCATCTTGCCGCAAATGACACCATTTGTTCTCTATGGTGACGGTAGTGTTCCATGATGAATATGTGCCACATTCTCTTTATCCAGTCCGCCGCTGATTGCCATCCAGGTGGATTCCTTGTCTTTGTTATGGTGAATGATGCTGCCGTGAACATGAGTGCATATATCTTTTCTGCAGAATGACTGGGCCTCCTCTGGGTATATACCCAGCAGGGGCATTGCTTGGTGGGGTGATAGTTCTGTTTTAAGTTATTTGAGAAATCTCCAAACTGCTTTCCACTGCACCTAAAGTCGTTAACACCCCCAATAGAGTATAAGCATTCTCTTTTCTCTGCCATCTTGCCAATATCTGATATTTTTTGACTTTTTACTAACAGCCCTTCTTACTAGTGTGAGGTGGTGTCTCTTGTAGGTTTTAACTGGCATTTCTCTAATGATCAGTCATGTGGAGCATTTTTTCCTATGTTCGTTGGCCTCTTGTATGTCTTTTTGTGAGAAGTATCTGTTCATGCCCTGGCACGCATTTTAAATGGTTATTTCTTTTTTGCTTGTTTCAGTCCCTTGTAGAGGAAAATCACTTTGACCACGAGGTCACCACCAGTCAGCCTCTCCTTACTGCTGGCGGTATGGACCTCACCATCCCCAGCACGCGGCGCTGGCGGTATGGACCTCGCCATCCCCAGTACACAGTCCTGGCTCACGTCCAGTACTGGCCTCTTGCCTTGCTGCTTCCCTTACTGCGAGCTTTGCTGAGGACCCCACGGATGACCTCACAGAGTGGAATTCTGCTGAGATCATCATTTGCCTTCAGTGTAATCCCATCACTTTATGGTGCAAGGAACCCATAGAGCCTGGGTCATATTGTAAGGCTGCACTAGAAGCTATGCAGAAAATATTGCCCTGTGGGAGCCCTGCGTGTAACGACACCACGCCCGAGTCTAACCAGTGATGATGCTGATGCAGTGCTGGGGAAACACCTATGGACCGGAGTGTGTTCTGTGTGCAGGGTGCAGGTCCAGGTTTCACTTCTGCAGGATACGGGGCGTTTGCAAAACCTCACGTGCATACACACCCCTTCATATTTTGCCCCTACAACCTCATCGTTAGCCCCCTACAGGCACCTACTAATGCCCTAGAACCTAAAACCATCACCAGGGCCTCAGTTTCCCCACATAGCCCAAACTTCATATGCTGGTGTGAGACTGGTCCTCACTTCCTCCAATGCTGAAGTTCCTGGACCTGCCACACATGGGGAACTCACCACTTCCTCAGAGGGACAGCCAACGCCACTGCTCTGATGAGGCTTGGGATGCCTCCTCCTTCCTTAAGATTGACGCTTCACCTTTCACTCCCCTGTCGCAGTCTTCCACAGCCCAATACCTGCTGCCTTCACGCAGAGCTGCGGGGCAGGCCCTGAGCACCCGGCCTGCTGGACCAGTGCAGTGCATGACACTCCGACACTGGCAGTGGCTTCCCAGCCTGTACACCTGGGCTCTGTAACCTCACTGTAGGTATCTATTCCCTCAGGAGTAAATGCATTATTTTCTCATTTCCAGAAACCTTATGCCATCTACCGCACTCTGAGGAGGAGGAGGAGGGTGGAGAGTGGTGCATTTTAAAATGTGTGCTCCTCTCCCCAGGACGTCCCTCAAACAACCCAGGAGGGAGAACATGAGCCCGATCCCACATATCTCAAGCGCGCAGTGATCATCCCACTCATGCTGTGCACATGGAGACTCTGAAGCCTGCACAGAACTGGCTTAGGAACAAGGTATTTGAGCACACAGCACCAGGTGATTCAGGCTAACACCAGTCTCACTGCCACCTTGGCTGCCTCCCTGAGAGACTTCCCAGAGATACTAGGTCTCAAGCAGCAAACTCAGGCGTCGTTGGCCCCAACAGTCCTAGATGCCCGTTTAGCCTTAAACTGTCCATTGGCCAAGGAATGAGGCAATTGTCCGCTCTATGGAACCACATGCTGTGTCCACATCCTTAACGGACCCCGCAAACCTGCCCTGCCTGGCGACACAAGCCGAGGTGGTATTCAGTCTCACTGGGTGTTCTGCAATGTCCCAACCCAGCCTATTGGCATTGATGTTTTTATGGTTAGAGTCCAGGTATGGGGGAGGCTGGTTAAGAGCAAGATTCCTAATCCTCTCCTGTGCACGGGTGGCATTCGTGTCCTTGTCTCCTGAACAGAGTGTATACTGTGATATGCAGGCCAGGTTCTCCTGATGGTTTTAAACATTCCCTGGGTCCACGTAGCTCAGCCTCAGCTGCCAGCACAGGTATCACAGGGTCAGTGTCTTCGGAGTCATGGAGAATCCATAGCTGGCTGCTGCCTGGGCCTGGCCGGGGCTGACCAAGGTAGATGAGGGGTCAGTCCCTCTGTGGACTCCGTTTGGAGCCCAGCTTCCCACTGAATTTCTCAACTGCCCTCGCCACCAGAGTTATTTAATAATGCAGTTAACAGAAAGTAACGCCGGATATTAGGACACCTGATCCCAAATGAACCTTAAATAGGAAGTCCTCTCCTGTTTGTGCACGGCTGCTCTTGCTACAGGAGGCCCGGGACTACGGACTGCCGTCTGCCCTCTCTGGTCACTCTGCCTAGCCTGAGGATCTGTAAGTAACACAAAACTGAAACTTTCACATTGAGGTTTCAACGCTGAAGCCACGTCCCCAATCTGACCTGTGACTCTCAGGCCACCCCAGAGGGACCCAGCAGGTGAATGCCCTGCTGAGCACTTCCGTCTGAACCTTGGTGGCTGCTGGAGGCAGTGGCTGCCAGCTAAGTTAATAGAGAAACTCAAGGAATTTCCTTCTAAATACACCTGTCCTACCTGACGTGTCCAATAGAGGCAATAATCGCTCCTTAGAACATGCTTCTCTTGTGAGAGAAGCCTCGGCAGGTCCTTGGCCTGTTTTTCAATCAGGTTATTTGTTTTTTGCGTTGGGTGGTTTGACTTCCTTATGTATTTGGATATCTACCCCTTCCACCACTGACGGTTTGCAAATATGTCCTCTCGTCTTCTGTGTTGCCTTTTCATTCAGTGGCTTGTTCTGGCCGTGCAGATGCTTCAGCGTTCAGTGCTGCCCCATTTGTCTCTTCTCCCTTTCACTGTCTGTGCTTTTGGCGTCATAGCCAAGAAATCGTGACCTGCATCAGTGAAAGCTTTATCTTCATATGTTCCTCTCGCAATTTTATGGTTTCAGATCTATGTTTAGGTCATTACATTTTGAGTTGATTTGTGTATATAGTGTAAGATAAAGGAACACATGTATAGGAACATCAAATTATAAGGTGGTATACAGGAGATATGTATCATGTTTAATTCTTATTCATATCTCGATAGAGCTGGAAAGAAGGTTTTGGCTGTAGATGAACTTTTTACCTCTCTCTCACTGGGCTCGTTTCACCTACAGCCTGACAGGGTCCTGGTCCTTTCACACTGGCCCCTACAGGAGGCTACTCACCCCGTAACTTCCTGAGGGTGGTAATGCCTTTGACACCTGCAACAAGCGGCTCTTCACTTGATAGGAATTGATGCCTGTGCCAGAGTCTAGACCTGCAGGGGGTAGTGGGTCATCTGCAGAAAATGAGACATTTGTTCCCTGAACTTATTCAACAAAAGCACTGCTGTTATCCTTTGGTTGAATATTAAAAAGTAAATATTTAATGAAGTGAGACACAGGAAAAAGATGCTCGGATCCTCATTATCACCATTTTCTCCAACCCAGCCAGACACTACACATAGAGATTCATGCTAGACTGAAAGCTGGGAGAGCAAAGGAGGAAAAGAGAAACGTGGAGACCACTGGGATCCCACACAATCTCCAACGAAACGCACACCTCTGCTCACTCAGAAGGTTCGAGGCTTCTTGTCTCTGAGCCTTCTCCCTGCAGAGCAATAAGTCCAGGCTAACTCCTCACTCTCCACACATCCACTCCTGCTCTCCCTCCTCCAGGTCACCCCAGCCATGAGGACCCTCGCCCTCCTCGCTGCCGCCGTTCTCCTGGTGGTCCTTCAGGCCCAGGCGGAGCCACTCCAGGCAAGAGCTGACGAGGTTGCAGCCCAGGAGCAGCCTGGAGCAGACGCTCAGGAAGTGTCTGTTTCCTTCGTATGGGATGAAGATGCCGCACGTCAGCTTTCAGGTGAGAGAAGCCAGAACGCAGAGCTGCCAAGTCTAGAGGGACAAACAGGAATCGGGCTCTGGAATGGAGTCTCAGTGGTGGATTTCACTGAGGTGGCTTAACTTAGCAGCTCTCGGCCTTGATTTTCTCATCTATAAATCGAATAGAGAGCAAAATAAGCCTAAAAGACTTGAGGTTGCTCAGCCTGTCGAGTAGTCATTCTTTCATTCCTTTGCTTTTTAAATAATGCTCCAACCTTAGAAAAAACAAAAGTAAAAAATAAAGACTTGAGTCCAGGATACGTCTGTGAAATTCAGTAGGTTTAAGATATGAAGAGACCGTCTGACTAGTTCTTTCTGGATCTAAACAAGTGAACTCAATTACAAGGATAACATTTTGCTGTATCTGTAGAATAGTCGTTAAGAAGCAGAGCCAGGCCACAGAGTGTGTGTAATGGGGCAGAAGCACTGAAATGAGAGCAAAAGAGAATGGGTGAATCGAATCCTGTGTGATCAGCACTGCTCTGTGTATTTATTCTTATTGACTGAGGTTGCTCGTGCTACTGGCCCTAATGCAGCCAACATTCCCCATCAGCCAGCATGTGACTTCCCAAGATTCCCTTTACCACCCACTGCTGACCTTGGTGATCAATTTCTGATTCTCTCTGCACATCCCCAGACTCAGGGAGACAATCAGCATGCCTTTGCAGACGACGACGCTGCCGTGCCAGAGAACGTCAACGTGGGATCTGCGTCCGTGGTTTTAGATTATACCGGTTCTGCTGCCGCTGAGCTTGCTGATAAAAATAAGCTCACAATTTACTTTGAGAGTTAAAGACATCGTTGTCACTCCAGTACCGTGTCCTCAGTTTCCTTTCCTCATCCCAAATAAACGCCTTCTAACAAGCTCTCTGTGTTTACGCCTCTTTCATGTGTCACGTGTGTCTATGTCAACATACTTGGGATACACGTATCAGAAACATATATCAAATTTTCGAACAAAATAAAATTCCCAATTCTAGGAATTTCAAACAGGAATTTGGGCTTCAGAGCCAAATTGAAACGAAGGTCCAAATGACAACACCGATCTCCCATCCACTGCTCTGCCTTTTCACTCTGCCTCACTTTCTCTGGATCCACTGTCAAAGAACTGGCATGTGATGGGCAAATAATCAGTGTCAGCTTAAAGTTCATGCAGTCACAAAATCTTTCCTTCTCAGGAAAAACCACCATCCTCTGTGCTAAAGAATTGAAGATCATTCTTGAAACAATCCCAGCTTATACATCTGCCTTTTAAGACATAGGGTTACATGAGATCCACTGAGGCAGCTTTAAGAGGGAAATGGGTGGTTAGCGAAGGCGGGTTGCATGGAACGGAAAGCGAAGCAGCCCACACTGGGACGTCCTCATTAAACACACTTCCAGCCACGTCTGCTACGACCTGGATCCCACACCCATAAAGTCGTCTCCACTCCTAGAAAAGGCACAGGCACAAATGCTCCACTGCACTTTGCAGCGCGCACTCTCCTGGCTTGCCTTAAAGCCGCTGAGAACCTGATTCTGCTTGGAAAATACAGCCTCAAAGGGGCAACGAGCAAAATAAAGAGACAAAAAAACATTTCATCAGAAATCTTCAGTTCCTGTTACTGCTGCATGGTGCTGAGGCTCTGATACCCCAAAACGTCCTGCACATCAGTGGGTGAGCAGGAAACCAGGTCTGGGGAAAGGGAATGAACCAGGAGTGCCCCCTGAGATGCTCAGGGCATTTGCCGGGAGGGCCACAGCGCCCCCTGCTGTCCTGCCTCCACCTGCAGCCTCCCCACCAGGCACAGCACATGTGGGGTCTGCACCTTCCTGAGCCTGTCTTCCTCCTCCCCTCCAGGAGACAGGGTCACTGCCTAACCCCGGTGTCTCTGAGGGCCAGGCTGACATCTTGCTGGGGTGAGATTTGACTCTTCCTCCTGTCTGTTCTCATTTTTTCTCCCCTGATTCTCATTGACCCTGAGCACTTGTCCAACATGTTCTGCAAACGGCCTTTCAGGACAGGACCACACAGCCCGGGGAGGAGTCCTGCGTGAGTGCCTCGTATTGTCTCTGGATCTGGTAGTTGCAACTGGTGAATTCAAAACACGAGTTTGACAAAGAAACGATATTCCAGCCATGGCTACTTATAGCGGGTGGTCACTGGTAAAATGTCCCAAGGAGTCTGAGTGGGGCAGAGGGATTACAGGCTTCATAGAAAGAGACAGTGTTTCAAATGGATTATTCACCTTTCTTCATTAAATCATCTTATGGCCCAGATAATTCTGTGACCACCAACACCAACCACAAATGCCCAGACCCCAGGAGGAAGGAGCAGCTGTTCCCCTATCCACCTCCTGCAGATTCTGAGCAGGTCTTGGCCCGGGACTGAGGCTCTGCCTGTCCAGAGAGACAGCTCAGGGATCCCACTGACACATTGCACAGCTGGGGGACCCAATACAGATCTTAGGTTGTATAGAGGGTCTATGTCTGACAGAGAAATGGTCCCAGCTCTACCTCTTCTTTAGACAGGGCAGGACACATATTAAGATTGAGAGTGCAATGGCCAGGCAACCTTCCTTGGGTTCCTGTGACTGCCACTGACTTGAAGTCACGTGGTCCTTGTTGTAACTCTGCATATTTCTCCTAACTCTCCACTGGGCCGGGCTCACTCCATCACGGGGCTTCTGCTCTTCACCCAGAACTCCACCTGCTTTCCACCCCAGGTCCTGGTGCCTCTGCCAAAGCTTCCCTTTGCCACTGAAGGATATGCTAATTTCTCAATCTTTAATTGCAACTAGTTCCCCCTGGAAACCTCAGTCCCCTCCTTCTCTCATTTTAAACTGTAGAATTTCACACCATCTCACATTCTGTACATTTCACCTGCTTTCTGTAACGTTTGCCTTCCTACTCCAGGAAGTGAGCGGCACGTGTCACTCATTGTCAGAGCACAGTGCACAGAAGACTCCCTAACAAATGGTAGGAGATCAGCAACTTCATTATGATTCAATTAATTAATCCTGTCTAACACCACATCTTATTACAAAATGACATTGTTATAAAACTTCATAGAATAAGCCTGACACCTATGGGGATAAGGCAGCCCATGTGTTTAGTCTATATGACAGGATTCCTATAAAAATCATTTAAAACTAACATAGGAGAATATCATGGCTAAAATATGGCTTCGTGAAGCACTACTACTTTCTAATGAAGAAACTAGGCATTTTGGCCTGTAGTAGCAAGAAAACAGTTCATGATATATCTTTAACTGAAATGTACAAGATATTAGCATAATACATTAAAAAGATGAGGTACGCCTGTAATCCCAGCACTTTGGGAGGCCGAGGCTGGTGGATCACGAGGTCAAGAGATCGAGACCATTTTGGTCAACATGGTGAAACCCAGTCGCTACTAAAAATACAAAAAATTAGCTGGGCATAGTAGCACATGCCTGTAATCCCAGCTACTCAGGAGGCTGAGGCAGGAGAATTGCCTGAACCCAGGAGGTGGAGGTTGCAGTGAGCCAAGATCGCACCATTGCATTCCAGCCTGGGAAACAAGAGCGAAACTCGTCTCAAAAAAAAAGAGGTAACGCACTATTCTAGGCAAAGAAAATGGCATTGGGAGAAATAATATGCAGGGTCAACCTCCACTAAATTTAGAGGAATTACTGTTGCAACAGAAAAGAATGGAGTCGAATTCAGGCTGAGGTGCTGAGAAACATCCATCAATCCCAGGGAAGGAAACAGATGAGGACAGAGCATCCCTTCCTCCACTGGGAGCACCACCTGTGGCTTCTGCTACTGCAGCCCAGGGTGGGCAATGACTGCTACAAACCCCAGGGACAGAGAAAGCAGGGAGAGGTGTGAGGGTCTCCAGACAACCAGGGCAACTTGCTCAGCCTCAGATAAGACCCAGAAATAATTATCTAAAAACCATGCTCTGTATGTTCACTGAAGACCTACTAGGCATTTTAAATAACCCACTCACGTGATCAAACCATAAAGAATGAATCAGAGGTGGGCCACATTTTCAAAGTGTGATTATCCCAGGACACAGCATCCCTGTCTCACTGTAGGGCTTCCATAGTGTGGTTCCGAAGCCCTACAGGGCATGGAAGCACAGCAGAAAGCGTGCTTGGTCCTTTCATTTCCACTCACCCACTACGGTTCTTAAGCTCTCATCCTCAAGATGTGAAACTGTGTCTAGAACATCTCCAGGAAGCTTCCAATCCACAATTCAAGTCCAAACTCACTTGCCGTCCCCCACGTTGACAACCTTCCTGCCAGTGAGCACAGTCTACACAGCATCCCACTGAATGTCTTCATGTTTCCTCTCCACACTGGAATCTGCTCTCTCACTTCCCTCCTTGCTCCAGTCCTGTCTGCCTTTAAAAAGGGCATGAAACCTCTACTGCTCCACAGGGTCACTTAACTTTAGTTAGACACTTAACTGGGGACACTTCTTCCACAGTGTCACTTGACTTTAGTTAGGCACTTACTGGGGACAACCTTTGTGGCACCAGGGACAGGTGGAAGATAATTTTTCCATGGGTGGGGGTAGGGATGGTTTTGGAGTGAACCTGTTCCACCTCGTATCATCAGGCATTAGTTAGATTCTCGTACGGAGCACACAACCTAGGTCCCTCCCAAGCACAGTTCACAATAGGGACCACATTCCTATGAGAACCAAATGCCACTGCTGATCCTACAGGAGGCAGAGCTCAGGCAGTAATTCTCACTTGTCCATGACTCACCTCCTGCTGGGTGGCCGAGTTCTTAAAAGGCCACAGATCGACACTGGTCCTGAGCCCAGGGGCTGGGGACCCACGCCAGGAGCAACGAAGAGGTTTGGAAAAGGGGGCCTGGGATTCCAACCTAGCTTTGGTGATGCTGAACCTTTATCATTGGAGGCAACACATTGATCCTATGGACCAAACTACGGTATTCCTTAAAATAAGGACACTAACCTGTTCTTCCCTTTATGATGGATTGTAGGCAGCGTTGTGTGACTTCATAGAAGTGTTATCAGCTGGATAACTCCTATAGGCCAGATAGTATTGTCAATATACATATTTCCTGTACTACTATTGGCTAATACTAATTGATTACTAAGAAATACTCATCCGTTATAATAACTCATAGTCACATGAATCCTTTTACTCCCTGTTACCATTAAAATCTTTTTCAGAAACATACATTAAAGAGAGAAATGAACATTAGATAGATTATTTACCTTAATCAAAGTCAAAAGTGACTGATCAACAAGGCTGATGCAAACTCCATATACTTCATTCATGCCCTGTACTCTCTATTTCTCTGAATTCTGCAGTGCTGGCTTCTGTAAGTTTCTTTGCTATTTGTGTTCTGAGCCTAGAACCTGACAGGAGCTGATGCTCCAGGGATATTTGCTGACTGAGAGTTTTATGTGAGCCTCACAGGCTCTCCTTGGCATACGCCTCTGAAAGCCCCTTCTTTGGGATTTCATGTGAAATACCTGGGATCTCATCTTTTGGCCCACACCCTTTAAGTAGATGACGTCAGGGTTATTAGCAGATGCCATCAGTCAGAATTCCCATTGATCCTCATTATTGAGTAAAGAGATTTATTGCTCTCAGGAAATGGTGGCCAGGATTACTGTTGACCTCTCCACAGACTGGGCTCTCAGATAATGATACGGCCAGAAGGATGCATCCATCTGGGTCTACAGGTGCATGAGGTTGTAGCAAGAACAGGTCCCCATGGGTGTGATTCATCCTTGGGTCCAGCCCTTCCTGTGCAGAATCAGGATCTGAACGTCTCTGAGAAGGAAAAAGACATGAAGTCCCAGGGTGTACAAGTCAGTCAGGTGCAAGACCAGAGAGAAGGGGCTTCAGAAAT